TATATATATATGCAGTCGTGCTCATTCCAATCTGCATGTTTCTCTCCTCTTCATTACTCGTTTCATTCTTGTTTTTTCATTCTTCTTCCTTTCTCTTTCTCAAGTGACATTCTTCAAGCTAGTACAGTCCGAGACTCATACACCGTTGGGAGATGTATATCTCGCGATGTGCATTTCGACGTCGTAGGGACGACGAGTCAACCTAACTCGTTTTCTGGGACGATCTTCGCGCTTCGTGCTTGACCTCTTATTGCGGAGCATGTGCGATCGATTTAATTATTTCCCTCGATGGAAAACGTCGGCGTGCCGACGCCGTTGCTGTCGTTGCATGGCTTGTGCATTGTGTGGGAATGCGTCAACAGCTTCTTAACGAAACGAAAGGGCAGAAGGGAGGAAGAGCCGTCTCGTCAGCCAGAATTTCCGACGAACACCGTCGACACTGTTCGCGCGTTACGGTTCCGCCGTAATCAGCATCTGTGATTCGCGGTGAGGCTCTTGGAGAGGAAAAAAAGAGAGAGAAGAAACGGAACTTCTGGCGAAGAGAGCGAAATTTCATCCCTGCCGCTAATTAGTATCGCAGGGGGGAAATTCGTGTGCGCCGGGGTGTGCGTGCGCCGAGCACGCCTCCGTACACACGCACCTACCCTAAGCTGACCTACTTGCATGCAATTCTCCCCTTAACCTCACGTTCTAAGCGGGCTGTGTCGATGTAGCTTTGGTACGACGAACTCTGCCGATGAGCTCAGCTTGAATAATGGCACGTCGTGGACAAGTAGTGGCGCGGCGCGGGTAAAATCGCGACTGATTGCCGGCGATCGCGGCGGTTTAAAAAAAAAAAAATCAAAACCAGTCTCGCCGGAGAGAGTTGCGCGTGTGCGTATCGACGTTCACTTCACGCAGACGGACGTGAATTCACGTGTGAATGCCGCAAATAATGCATCATTTGTTCGCGCGCGACGCGGAATTATCGATCGGTTAGAAAGGGAACGTAACGTCTGCGCGACGGTGTACTCTTCGGAATATATTCGAGAAAATGCATGGGAGAGAAGCCCACGCGATTGTCTCGACGCGATGACTGGAAACGTTTTGTCCACCACGTGCCCGCCGAGTTCCCTGCATGCGAAGGAGAGTGCGCGAAACGCAACGTCGAGAAAGTATATGATAATGATAATGAGAGGAGAGCAAGGAAAATGAGCGGAAAGACGGATTAAAGTCCGAAGACAGACGGCGAGTTGAAGCATCGCCGGCCTTGAGCCAAGTCGGGAGGAAACAAACGCGTTGTTATTGTTTTCAGCGAGCTTCACCGGCGGCAGCAATACGCATAATTGAACGCGAGAAGTAACGCTAAAATAAAATAACGCAACAATAAACAAAAAAGCAGAAAGAGGGAGCAAAGAGAGAAGAAGAAGGAGAAGAAGAGCGGAAGGAGGAGGAGGAGGAAGAAAAGGAAGCAGAAGAGAAGGAAACGGTGGTGGCTGCGAATGAAGGGTACGCGTGGAAATGTGGCTCTTTTTCGGACGAAGAAATGTAGGGTGAACGCGAAAATGACCTCGCGAGGTCGCGGAAATCGTGCGACGTGCCGGGAGTTCTCCACGACGTAGCCGCCGATCAACCTCGATCGTGAATTCGTCGACGACGGGGAAGGATCGAGCGGGAACGACGGCAACGCGACCACGAAATCTTGACCCGTGCGGAGTAGCGTTTTCTCGGACCCGGGGCGGATCAGAAGTGGAGGTCCACGCCGATGTGTGCCGGCCCTGTCTCTCTGAAGTATGGACGAATAGCGCGCGTCACTACCTGCGTCTCCAGCCGCCTGTTCCGCACGAGATATGGCGTGTACCATTATTACGATTGTTACTTTCACTTTTGCATTATATCGTCATCGTTATTAACTGCGCAATTACGAACGCCGCTGTCAACGGTGCCGCCAGTCGCGGCCGCGCGAGGACAGTCGCGTTGTCCGGGTCGGTGCGGCAGCTGTCGGCTCATCACGCTCACTTGGAATCGCGAAGCGTAGGTGCGTGGACCCTTAGACCAGTACACGGAAGTCCTCGCCGGCGACGGAGAGATGACCACGTCGAAGACCACCGGCTAGACTGGGGAGATTCGAGCACGATGATCGTGCCGGGAACAGAGCCGGGGACGAGATCCGCGCGCGGTTCAAGTCGATTTTCGCGAGCGAACGCGGTCGGTTGAAACGGGATGAAACGAAACACATCGCGCCTTCCTTCGTCCATCTTCGTTAATTAGCGTAGAAAACAAGAAATAGAGTGAGTGCGAGATCAGGAGAGAGAAAGAGAGACGGTGATTGTGCACGAAGAAACGAAAGATTCGCTAGGACGAAGAGAGAATTCGTGTTGTAGTAGCGACATATAGTAAATATATATATATATATATATACATATTATACACATTCATACATATAATATATATATATAAAAAATATATATATATGTATGTATAGACAGGGTGTTCGTAAAATTTCTCCGACGAAGGCAGTTACAGGTAGCGCGAGTTCTCTTTCTCTCCCTTTCTCTATTCCCTCCCTCGCCCCTCTCTCTCACGTGTATATCGAGCATTTACTTTATATAGTGTATGTATATATATAAATTCACATACTTGTAAATAATATATCATTTGTCCCTTTCATACGCTCGCGCGAGATAGGATTTATCGACCAACACGTAACGACTTGTCGAAGAGTGTCACGCATCCTTTTTGTTCCCGTTGCGTTCCGCGCATCTTCCCGGAGGAGAGCGGAAGAAGCCCGATCGAGGAGAGATCGAGAGAACGAGGTGAATCGAAAAACAAAATGAAAAAGAAAGAGAGAGAGAGAGAGAGAGAGAGGGAAAGAAAATGACAAATGGGCGAAAGAGATGGAGAAACCGCGGTGGACGCCTGCCTTCGTCGAAGACGGCATTGGAATGTTTTCGAGCAGCGCAGTGTACAGAGAATTTTAAGAAGTAATAAGGGAAGAGCGCGCGCGCGCGCGCGCTCGATAGAGAAAGAGAAAGAGAGAGAGAGGGGGAGAGAGAGAGAGAGAGAGAGAGAGAGAGAGAGAGAGAGAGCGAGAGAATATGAGAAAGGGAGGGCGGAAAAGGAACGCTTCGGTGCAACGGAGCGGCGCGGCTTTAGATAACATGTTTTAAGGCTTAAAAAAAAGTTATCTACAGATGTTATATATACATGTTAACAATAATGATTACGTTATGATAATAAGGATAACATCAATAATAATAAGAATAATAAACGATTGACACGCGATCACCTCAATGACGACTACGACGACGACGACGATGATAACGATAAGCGAGCTTTCGCCGTTTCGCGAATACGATCGCGTCGAGAAAAGGACGTGTCCAGTCTCGTGCGAGTCGAGGATACACCTTATCCTCGACGACCCTCTCATCGTCCAATCGCGAGACAAAGCGTTGTCTCGCGACGAGGGTGTATCGCGTGACAACGTCGATCGATCGTCGATCTCGTCGATATCCTCCCGAGTCCCTTCTCCTCTTCCGTTTCGGTCGGTCCCGTTTGGTTTCGGTGCTGCTGATACAGCAATAATTTCGCCTCAATCCACCATCCTTCTAACTGTAATCTCTCCCGCGATTATCCCTGCCGATCCCGTTCCGACACGCGAATGACAGGCGCCGTTTCGTCGACGACTTCCGACTGCGTGCCGGAAGTTACCGGAAAGGCAAAGATACAGAAAGTGGGAGAGAGAAAGAGAGAGGAAGAGAATTTTTTATCGTGTCGATCGGCAAAACGCTGGACAAATTCGTATCTTGATGTTCGAGTTGGAGAAGACGAAAGCCGCGAAAGGAAGTGTCATAATGTTAATTATCGAAATTTATATCGTGAAACTCATCTTTTTTGTCGTGACTATTAAGTGAAACGATGAACACGTCAAGAAACCCATCCAATGAGCTGATTCGCACCTAATCGTGACGTTAGTGTCGCGAAAAGTGAAATTAAGGTAAAGGTACCAATACCTGGATACCGATAACACCGGCACCTAACTCTGAGCATTCTTATTGTTTTGGTCTTTAAATAAGAATACATATTTAAGCTTTCAGTACACAGAATACACACAGGTTGTTTGGCGCAAAGTGTTCCATACCTCCTAGAGGAATTTTGTATTCAGATGAAACTAACCTCCATGAGTACGCAGAGAGGATATTATAAATTTCTTTTTTTTTTTCATATAATTTTTTTTCAATTTTACTACGTTAGTAGTGATCCAGGCTCAGACTGTCAGCAAGGTCTATTCTGCAAAGGGACATAGTAAATTTCGCTAGAAAAACGTAGATAGTATTCTAATAGCACGTTTCAGTCCCTAAAACATATAAGCAGCACTGAGGGAAAAGTTACCTTAAAACCAACAAATATTTCATTGATGGATGCCATTAATATATTTATTTAAATCTAAATTCTCTTTATTTAAACCAAATATTATTTACTTAAATCAGGTAAACAATATTTGATTTAAATAAAGAGAATTTAGATTTAAGTAAATACGTTAATGGCACCCATCAGAAAAATATTTCTTGATTTTAAGATAATTTTTTCTTGTATAAAATGAATTACTGCAGAATATCGATCTGTTCCTCGATTACAGTCTTCTTGTTACAAAATTCTCCTCGTGTACACAATATATGGGACTTTCACGTTAGATTCATCCTACATACACATGTCTAATATATACGTATATTTTGCATGGAAAATCTGAATATTCATATTTAGAAATGAAAACAATAAGAGTGCTCAAAGGGGATTTAAGGACTCCAATATTATTAGCGTCTAAACATTGGTACCTTTGCCTTACCTCTGCTCGGAGGAGAGAGCGCCCTGCTGACTAAATTGGCTTTATTCAAATTAACGCGAGTGGATCTCTCGATCGCGCGAGATTCTCGCGATTTCCCGCTGTCGGGGATCGTGATTATTGGGGACCACGAGTCGTTCGTTTCGCCGAGTCCGTCTCTCGCGGTCGCGGAAAATCAGAGATCGGCCGATCGACGGTGAGAAATTCGAGCGAGGTTAACGCGAAACGGCGCTGCGGCCACAACTCGAGTTATAATGTCTGAACGATCATTCTATGTTTGCGAACTATAAACACATAGCTGTACGTCATATCTTAACCGTCGACGTATCCTTAATTATCGATGACGAATATGAACACACGATGATAACAATGATGATGGTGCTTCGAACGTTGTACAGTACCGAATAAAAGATATACTGCGTAGTTGAAAATTGAAGTTGTGAGGAAAGTGACGGAGGTGGGCGACGGCACGATTGTGGCTTGTCTGGTTTGCTTTTCTTGCGCGCGAATTGGATCGTGAGCGCTCTTTGCTTCGGTCGCAGGGCCTCATTGTCTTCTCGCCGACATTCGTTCCAACAACATTTCTGGGCCCTTATTCTTCAAATAGTTGCGTGTACGTAAGTTTTACTGCGCAGGTTTAATCATACCATAAAATAGCTGCGCAATGAAAATTACGTACACGCAAAAATTTCAAAAATAAGAGCCCTGCTGTCGCTCGACGACGAGTCGGGCGCGTTCGTCTCGCTCAGTTATTGTGAATCATTAACGCGAGACAAACGGCCGGGGCAGGCTGCTCACTTCGCGAAAAGAAACCTTGTTCGATGACGGCCGTACGAGAGTCACGCGATTTTACCGATCCCTAAAGAAATTATCCACTAGCGAGTGTAATCGCAACCCGCGCCTTCCAGGAAGAGGATCATTATAAAGCCTAGTGTCCGTTTAAATCCAAGTAGGAGGTAAGAACAATAAATTTGCTATTGTATGCCGGTGTGTACGTGGTATCTTTTACCTGGCTTCTAGTCGCGAAACTCGCTGCTATTCTCGTTCTTTTCCCTCGACTCACTTCTCGATCTGCGCGCGATTTTTTAATCCGGCGCTCGTGTCGATTTTTATAACGTTATATACATTTTTACGACGCGCTTCTTAAAATCCACGCGCGTTAAATCGACGAGAAGAACGCACGGAGCAAGAGGATCAGTTGAATTGACGGAACGAACGAGCCGGGCGCGTTTTGTTCGAAGAAGAGAAAGTCTCTGCGATTGTTACGAGCCAGATTCGTTCTCAGAAGCGGAAACTCTGTCTCCTTCAGCCGAAATGCCGTCGGCTCGTTCGCTGCCGCGTTAATTCATGCAATCTTTCCTCCCCGTGTATAGAATCTCCTTTCGTTCCTTCTGTCGTACGACGATTGGCACGAGGATACGTGCTCTCTTCGTTGCATGTGTCGTTCGAGACTTATAGTTCCTTTCCCTCCCCTCCCCCCCCCCCCCC